CTAAGTGTGCGGCCCCATGATGGGATTAGTGTTCTTGTAAAAGGAGAGAGACTAGGGTTCTTTCTCTTTACTATCATTAATAGGACACAGCAAGAAGGTGGGCTTCTGCAATGTAGGAAGAGGACCCTTATCAGGGAACAAAGCTGCTGGGAACTTCATCTTGGATTTCCCAGGCTTGAGAATAGTGATAAGTAAATGTTTCCTGTTTAAGTCACCCAGTCTGTGATATTTTTGTTATAGCAGCCTGAGCAGACTAACACAGAAAAACCGAGTAAGCAAATATAGATGGGTCTCCAACTTAGGATGGATGGTTTAATTTACAACTTGTTTACTTTGTGGTGATATGAAAACTATATGCATTTAGTACAACTGGACTTTAAACTTTGAGTTTTGATCTTTTCTCAGACTAGCTACATGTGGTATGACAGTGTTGTAATACTGGGCAGTGAAACTTAGCTCCGCATCAGCCTTGTGATCACAAACAGCTGATACTCTACAGTGTGCTGGGTTGCTAAGCTATGAGGTTTGGTAGCTGATGTGTATGAAATGCTTTTTTGGCTTGTAATATTTTTTGACTTATCACGAGTTTATCGGGATGCACCCCCATTGTAAACTGAGGAATAGCTATATACCAAAATAGGGGTTCTCTCTGGGTGCTAATGTTACCTGCAATTATTTGAATTTTTCATCAAGTATGTTATGAGTACAGTATTTTTAAAAGACTATTCATGGCAAATAAAGTAGTAAGTATTTTCCCTGTCTTACTGAGGGCTGGTTACTATTAGTAGTTGGCGAGGTCCATTTCCCCTGGTCCCCATTTCACACCTGCATAGGTTCTTCTATATCTGTCTTCTACAGGTGAGGAAAGGAAGACTCCAGGGAGTTTATGTAACCTGCCTCAGGTCACTCTGCTCCTTAAGAAATAACAGGGAACAGGCTGAAAATTAGCTGTGGAAGGGTGTTTACTTGAATTCATGGGAGATGGCTTTTCCCAGATATGGAGAAAAATAGATCCAGAGTGATAGATCTTCATATCTCGTCCACCTCACAAGATTGCTTTAGGAATAAGATAAAATGTATTTGCAAGTACCCGAAAGATTGCAGAACACTGTTGTAATGAAGGCCGGGTATTCAAAACTTTGCCAAGTCATACATAATGTGCTTGCTGACTGTCAAGTTCTCCCATGAAATCCATCTTGACTTAGAAACAATGTAAGTGTCCCAGGAAGGAGGACTGGTTGACTAAATTACAGGGTTTCCACCAATTGTTCCGCATTGGCAATGCAACTTCCAGACTCCTCTGGCTAATGTACGATACAGAAAATGGGTAATAAGCCATCATCCATGATGTCTTTGAGAATCAGATTCTCAGCATAGAGAAAGGAGGCACAAGTGTAAGAAGGTATGACGGTTTGGATATGTGATGTTCCCCCAAAACTCATGTGTGAGACACTGCAGGAATGTTCAGAGATGAAATGATTAGATTATGAGAGCTTAATCTAATCAGTGAATTAAGCCACTAATGGATTAATAATTTTAAAAACCTACTATCTTGGGGTAACTGCAGGTAGGCAGAGTGTGGCTCAAGGAAGTGGATCACGGGGGCATGCTTCTGGTTTTTTATATCTTGGCCCTGGTTTCTTATTCTCTTTCTCTGCTTCCCGGCTGCCTGAGCTGAGCAGATTCCTCTGCCACACCCTTTTGCCATAATGTTCTGCCTCACTCAAGCCCAGAGCAATGGAATCAGATGACCATGGACTGAACCTCTGAATTTGCAAGCCAAAGTAAACTTTTTTCCACTAAGTTGTTCTTGCCAGGTATTTTTGTCACAGTGACAAAAGGCTGATTAACACAGAAGAGGTTAAATAAAATGCCCTTTTGTTCTAAATTTAAATCAAAAGCATAATATGAACTCCTGATGAACTTTTGTTACAAACAATAGTAATATATTTTCTACTTAGCTCCATCCACTCAAAAAAGGCCTATTAATGATGAACAACCCAGGAACAATGAGCACTCCTGTGTCCAGATTGTGGTTCCTAAAATCATCTCCCACCAAGAGGAGTCCTTAGAGAAATGACTTCTTCCAGGTCTAGGGCAGAGTCTGGAACATCTTAGTTTCTTAGCTATTTAGATGACATCAAAGACGATGAGGGTCATATTAGCAGCAGCCAACTGGCCAGAGATGGGACAATCCAAGCATTAATAAAAAAAAAATTACAAAGAAAAGAGATGAAAACACATCCAATAGGCTTAAATTCATGATTTGCAAAGATACTAAAAGCAGAACAAAAAAATCTGATTGGTAACAAGGCAGAAGATAATACATTACTCATTGTGTTGAAAACTAGCAGATAAATGGAAAGACTCAAACATTTCTCCATCACAGAGCTCGGGGCCTGGTATAGAGAGGAGGTGCTCAAAAAATACTAACCGCAGCGCAGTGTATTATATGCATTGCACTCCTAGTTAATGAAGTAGTTGAGAAAAGTTTTTTTTTTTCCCCTGAAAGCATTTCATCTAAAAGGTGAAGAAAGAAGGATACATATGAGAACACCCCCATTTTGTAACCCCTAATTAATTAATGGATCAAAGCAATAAACATCGGTAGCTACTAAAGACACAAAAAGAGACAGCCAGACATTCTGTGCTCCTGAGGAGAGAACACAACACAATCCATAGAGTGATTTTGTCCACAAAAATCAAACCTTAATCTAATTTAATATCTAAAGCAAGCAACAGATTTATAGGAAATAACAGACGATAGAAGAACATGTTCTATAGCACCATCAGGCTGTGGTCAGAAAAATCCACACTGTGAAAATCTAGGACAAAGGGTACAATTCCTTCATAAATTCATTGCATAGCGGCAGAGGGAGGGAAAGAGATAAAGGGATCCCATAGATTAAAGAAAAATTAAATGTTGATCTACTGCAATGTATGAATTCTGATTTTAAAGAAAGACTTTTTAAAAAGGGTGTTTATGGGACTACTGTTAAGTCCAAACACTTACTTGATGTTTGGTGATATCAAGAGATTATTGCTCACTTGTTAAATTGTGATTTGGGAATTGTGATAATATTAACACCAAAGGGTCAGTGTCCAGGGGAAAAAGCAGCTAAGTGTGGCGATCAATCACATCTTGATGAGACTTGAGGCTGAATAAGGGCCCATAAAGGTTTGTGCTTCTGCTCTTTCTACTCTTCCATCTGTCTAAAAGTTTCCAAAATAAAATAAGAAAATAATAAAATTAAAAATTAAGGTAAATCCTTCCTCATGTCATGGCCAGAGTGATGACACTGGCTGGGGATATCATGGTTCTGACCAGTATCCCCCTTCCTATGATTCATGAATAATGGAGAGTTGAGCCTCGTGTTTTAGATCATCCATGTCAAGAACCCCATGGAACCTCTCCATCACCCTCCTTACTAGGCCATGACAATATGGTGCTTGGGATCATATACACGTAAGTATACAAAAATATATCAGAAATAAAAAAGAGTGCTTTTGACTCAAATATTTTGCCTCAGAGCTTCAAAGGGCACAGGGGACTCATGATTTCATAGAGACAGAGAATCACATCTGCCTGGCACAGGCATTTGTTGGTGTTCACTATAGGAGAGAACAGGGTTGGTATGATGTTCAGGTCGGCAGGTGTTTCCATCTGAAGTTCTGGGCAAATGACCAGGGACACTGGTTGTGTCTTCATGTCATTACTTGTATGGGTACAACAAGACTGAGTTTCCTAAACCAGATAACCATGTCTGCAGGAGAGCAAACCACCCCAATTCCCTCTGGGGACTCCACAGGTGAGAGAAATGAGTGGCGTCAAGGAAACAGCCAACGGTTGAGCCCTGTCTCTGGGGCAGGAAGTGAGAAACTGATCTGATAGGTATCTTTAGAAATGGCACCTCCCAGCCTTCAAGGTTAAGCCAGCTGTTAAGGTGGCTTCTGTGGTTTCTATTTCTTCCGCCAGCCCCACCAAAATCTGCGAGCAACCTAGGTGTGCCCTGCAAGCTGGGAGTCCCTCCTGTGGGCTTGCTTTAGCCCTGTTCACCCCTCTGGGCCCCTTCTTGCACAGTTCAAACTGCCTGTTTACTGGTCTTCTGCCACATTAGCCCATGATCTTGTTGAGGACAGGGGCTTTTGTCTGTTTCTCGTGTTGTCTCATCACAGAGCTCGGGGCCTGCTATAGAGAGGTGCTCAAAAAATACTAACCGCATAGTTGGAAACCACCAGGGAAGCCATGCAGCGTGGTGGTTTTGAGTGTGAACGTCACAGCTAGACAGACATGGGCCCTGTCGGCTCACGGCGCACCTTACTCATGCTGCATTATGGTTTGCAGATTCTACAACTGACCTATTCCAAGACTTCAGATCTTATAAAACACTTCGAGATTTTCCTGGAAAAGATAAACATGTACAGACAGTCCCCAACGGATGGTGTTTTGACTTGGGATTTTTTTTTTTTTTTGACTTTACAATAGTGCATAAATGATCGGCATTCAGCAGAAGCTGTACTTGGAATTTGGACCTCTTCCCAGGTTAGATATGCAGTACAATCCTCTCTGGAGACAATGGGCAGTGGCAGTGGGCCACAGCTCCCAGTCAGCCATGGGCTTAGGAGAGGAAGAAAGCCAATGCTCTATGATGTATTGTATACACTGAGCTCTGATAGGCTGTATTGAATGCAATTTTCAACTTACGATATTTTAATTTGGGAGGGGTTTACTGGATGTAACCTCACCCATTGTAAGCTGAGGAACATCTGTCACTGTATATTTCTGTCTGTGTAATAACATAATTCATCTCGGAAAACAATTTTGGAATTTTGTTGTGCACCTATCTGGAATGGTTTCTGTTGAGGGACTTACATATAACAAAACTTCCACGTTCTATCTACCCACAATGCCCTGGACTTTGTGTTCAAAGTGCCTAGTGGTGAGGTGGACCACAGAATAGAACATCTTAGAACACAACCATCGGTGTAGACTAGCAAACCTGGGCATCTTCAAAGGTGTATCTCCCTCCATCCTTGACATTTTGGCTGGTTATCTCATAGCTGTGAGAATCCAGGTTGATTGCACTGGGGGCTCCTGGAGCCAGAAACTCTTGCCAGATTTCTTCCACCCTCTTGGCCACATCCTGTAGCGGTTGTTTCTTGAGATCTTGGACAGCCAGCCAGAACCTGGAGGGAAAGCAGAAATAGTTTCATCAGGATCCTGATGGAGACAGTCTCAGAGCTGATGTTGCATGAAACTCATTCTGTTGCATCTCCCAGCCAGCCCTGATGCCACCACATGGGTCACAGGGACCATGGTTGGGTTCAACTAGAGGCATCCAAATGAGGAAAAGATCACAGGAGCAGGCAGAATCCTGAAATCATACATAATACCTGGGCTGGAGTGAGCCAGCCATTTGTGTTAGAGATGGAGAAATTAAGCAGTTCATACCAGCGTTCAATATGGTGCTTGGCATACAGTAGGTACTCAATACAGAACTTTTAGATTGAAGAGGGGCTCATCTGGAACACAGCAGAATAGGCATACATGGGCGACCTCTCTGCCAAAGATTCTCCAAGGAGTGCCAAAGAGAACACTCTCCTACTCACTTCCATTTGCCCCTCCATAATCCCTCAGCAGGGCGGGGGAGTTGCGTTGGCAGTGCTGCGGGTGAGCTCATTTCTGCTGAGAGCAGCAGCAACCAGCGCCAACTCCTGAGCAGCAGCTCCCAGGTCCCAAGGACGATTCCCAAGGCAGCCTTTCAGTGGGACCCAGTGCCGAGCAGCACACTCTTTGCTCTGCGAAGGGGACAGGCCAGTTTCCCCAGCAATGAGATAGGAGGACAGGACCCATGCTCTGCGAGTTCCGCAGTCACGGGAATATCACCCGTAATCCAGTCAATGAAAGAGGAGGACAAAAAAGCGGAGCCACCGCATGATGGAAAGTGCATTCAATCTGTCATCGAATTTCATCCAAAGTAAGATGTACTTTTTTTTTTTTTTTAAAAAAAAGGTTAAACATATTTTTCTGTTATTCAGAGAAATGGCTTAGGAGTCAAGTGTGTGGCCCAAAGGCGCCACTCAGTGGCATATTGGGGTAATGCAGCCCCATTTCCACAAGGGCAGGGGTATGTGTATGCCCTGGGAATGCTGGGCTCCAACTCTTGTCCTGATTTGCCATTTAGGATTTGAATGATCTCCTTAAAAGAAAACCCTCACAGTTCCCTCATGGATCCTGAAGATCCAGGAGAAAGTCAGGGAGGGAGATAGCCTCTCAACCAGCAAAACAAGAAACACAGTTCCGTTATTCAGGTTATACTTTTGTCTTAAATTGTTGTACCTTTCCAGGTGTCTCTTTTCTTATCTGTGAAATGGGTACAAAGTGGGTGGTAGGAAATGTGGCACAGAAAAACTTTCTAGGTAGACTTAACTGTGAAATGCTTTCAGGCTCCCCGGGGTGGGGGGCACAGGAGGGGGTGGGAGAGGCTGCCACAGGCTCAACACTGCCCCTTTTGACCCTTTGCATTTCCACTTGGGTGGCCTGCTTAGCTTTCCAGGCTGTTGTCGATGCAATCTATTGTCACCTGTCCTTCAACACCAGCTCTCCTTTCTGCCACTGGTTCTTGGTGCCACTGGTCCTCTGGCTCCCAGAGGAGAGGAGAACAATAGTTCTCTTACCCAGAGTCCAGAGGGCTTTGCAAGGAGTGTTAACCTGCCCATTGCTCAGGTGGGTCTTGGAACTCCTCCATCTCTTCCACTTCTCAGGCCCATCCTGGGGCTTCCTCAGGGCTCTCTGTCCACCTCTAAGGTCTGCCATGAGGTGAGGGACAGCCGGGATACCTGGAGGTGAATATGATCATCTGGCCACAAAAGCCCTAAGAGGTTTTCTCTGACTGGCGGGTGAGCAATGCTGGAAGCCCTGATCTAAAGAAGAAGGTCATGGTTAGCTTTTCAAAGGACTGGGAGGAGGGTCACAGGCATCTCACTGAAGACAGAGTCAGGGAGGCCTCAAGCAGACTGGAGCAGGGGAGAGCCAGTCCCCTCCCAGAGGCCCTCCAGGCTGAATCCTAGCTGCAAGCCACTCTCTGGGTTAGCGTCCCTCCCTCCCCTTCTGCTCTGCAGTTTCTCACACAAATGGATGACACAGGGTGATTTTCTGCCTCCTCCATCAATGTCATGTGGGATGTCTCCTTCTGTTACCTCTGTCCCTTGTTGCAGTCTGCTGTGAGGAAGAGCAATGGAGCCCTCCTGGGGAGGCCCCGAGGACCCCAGCAGTTTGAGTCCCACAGACTCCCTGTAGTTCCTGAGGCCTTGGGGTCCCTTTTGCAGAATTCTGTGGGAGCCACATCAATGCCATCTACTCAGCTGGGTATAAAGAAGGTCTGGAGCTGATGTCATGGCAAATGTCAGAATCAAATTTAATCAACTTTTATATATATAAAAAGAAAAAGGTTCCCTCCATCAGAGAAAACCATGAATTAAAAAAAAAAAAAAAGCACAAGAAGAAACAACAGACTGTTCAGAGGAGCGAGGGGTGGGGGAGGAGAGAGAGAGAGGAGGGGGTAAAGAGGAGGGGAGGGGTAGGGCATAGAGTGACATCCCGAGGCAGCAGTTTTCTCTGCCTGCATACACAGGGACACAGCCCAGCCTTCTGTCTGCCTTGGAGATGACCTGCCTTGTCCCTCCCAGGTGACAGAGAAAATGCTGTCACAACAGCATCCTGACATCCCGTATGTGTTTACCATCATGGCTTCGAGGAACCTCTGTGTCAATTTGAAATTCAGAACAGGCTTTGGTTTGTGTTTGCCATCTTCCCACCCCACAGCTCCCCGCTCAGGCCACACGTCCCCCCCACCTCCCGGCAGAGAGCCACAAAAGCTTCTCTCTGCACATCCACCGCGGAAGGGAGGCCCACTGAGGCTTGCGAAGCGGCGGCTCTTATCAAAAGCCTGCAGGTACCGCTCCTCCGAGGGCGCAGCAGGAAGTCCAATGCCAGCAGCAGCGTCAAATCCACCCATCCTTCACTAAGCCCCCGCGGCTGCCAGCAGAGGGGCCGTCATGACTGGCAGGCCACAAGGGCTCCAGGGTATCAGGGAGACCACCTGTCCTGCCTCGCCCCCTCGGGTCCCTGCCAGTCGCCAGAGCAGCGGGAGGCCATCCGTGTGCAGGCATTCAGTCCATGGCAATGGCTTAGAAATGAACGCAGCAGGCGGGGGGGGGGGGGGTGACAGCCTTGGGGGAGAGGCAGCCGGGCTCAGAAACCACTGGGACGAAGCCGCGCGGTGCACGGATGGGGCAGTCCAGGGGCTGCCTCAGGTGGCCTCCTTTCTCCCTAGCTGCTGGTAAGGAGCCGGATCTTCTCCCCGAGGCTGGCCGGGGCGAGAGGGACCATGAGCGGTTGATCCCTTTCCTTCCTGCCAGGCGGTCCGGCAGCCCGCTGTTTCCAGCTTCCCTATCTTTTTACAAACTAGAATTTTCCGTGTGTTGGAAAACACAGCTTGGGGTTGGTTCCCAGAGAAAAGCAAACTCCGCGGCAGATGGAAGTGTTTCTGTGCCCTCTGCTGGTCAACCAGGGACTCAGAACAATGGATTAAACTTGGGCTCAGTTCCTTGGCTGGGGTGAGATCCTGGGGTGCCCACATCGGCAACCCCATCACCAGGCTGAGCTGTGCTCACTGGGCACTGGCTGGGCTGCCACAGAGGTCATGGTGCTGTGGGAGTCATTTGGTTCTGACTTATGCATTTGGTTAGTGGGGGATCCCGCTGGCCCTAGTGAACCTTCTGAGGTCTTCCTAGGACTTGGGGTAACGGCTGCAGACGGCTCTGGAGACAAACCTGGTAGCCCCCCGTGCTCTCTTTTAATTGCTTCTCCCTTCAGCCGACACGGTGTGGAACTAGGATCATCAATCTGCAGGTTAGAAGAACAACCACGCTCTCTCAGGAGACGTTAGAGCTCATAAAAAATGTACGGGGGACGCTCTTTGCTGCAGGTTTTGATTTTTTAACTCATGCCTTGCCAAAGCAGCAAGAGGTGTCAAATCAGGGAGGACAAAGATTTGTGTCAGGGATATAGAATGTATAGAATGGGGCTGGGACAGGTGACAAGGAGCCACCCATTCTAGAATCTAGAGAAGGAGTAGGTCATCCACTCAGTGGCGCTCCCTAGCTCCCCTCTTCAGAGATTTGAGGACCTTGCCTGGTGGGTGGGAAGCGACATACAGTCCAAAGGCACTTAGGTGACAGCTGTCTCCAGGGGACCACCCTATGCAAATGGAGTTGTGTACTCGGCTCAGGGTGGGTTAGCAAAAGAGAAAAAGAGGCAGTCCCTGCCACAGATGGCCACAGCAAAATGTGCTCTAGCCATGTCCTCTCTCCTGTCATCTGGAGATGATAGCTCATCTCACAGACTTGCCCAGAAGAAAATGATCAGAGGGACTTTCCATCACATCACACCTTCCTTAAAAGATCCAGGTGACACTTTGGGGCTCCTTTGTTCCTCATTCTGAAATTCTGATACAAATTCAACACTTGGCTGCTTACTGGCCCTCCAAGTGCTGTGTCAGTGTTAGGATCTAAGTGCATCTTCTGCTGAGAGATGTAAGTGAGCCCAGAAAGATGGAGGTGGAGAGGGTACTTCGTTTGCGATGTGTCCAGCTGGGTCTGGTCAGTCCCTCTGTTTCCTTGCCTGCTCAGATGCCAGGAACCTGGCTCTTGACCAGTCCTGGGGAGAAGGGAAACCCCCAGCACAGCCCACACAAAGGATGGGCAGTATCTCCAAGTCGCGTTACCCACGCAAGGGGTAAAACATGGTCAGCTCTGAATCTTTGGGTCCTAAGTCATGGGAGGTGCTAAGACAGCATCCGTGGTTGAAGGAATGAACACAGAAGGAAGGAGAAGAAACTGCTTTGTGACAAGTGACTAAAGAGTCCTAAGGTTGTGTGATTTAAAACTGAGCTTTCCTCTCTGTATCCAATTATGCCGAATATCATAAAAAAGGAATTTGGGCCACCAGAGAGGATTTTAGAGCTCTTGGGCTATACTTTTTCTCTCTGCTGTTCTATTTTCCTTATCCTCTTTCCTGCCATGGATCAGAGGCGACCCTCTTTAAGTCTGGATTTATGCATGCATGCTGGGGGCCAGCAGAATCCCACATGCACACACACATTCTTTCACCCAAGATTAAATGTAGCCCTCCTGGCATGGAGGAGGGAGCTGGCAGAGGCACAAGTGGTGATGGCAGGAGGAAGCCATGAACACCTGCCAGGGGCACACTCCTGGTGCACACGGGGCCCTGAGTGTCCTGCATATTTGGTGAAACTCTCCTGATTTGATTCATGGCCCTGGCTATACTTTGGCTTTTCAATATGAATGCTCCACACAGGATAAGGCAGCAGCTAAGCAAGCAGATGTTCTTGGGACCCTCATGATGACCAGGATCCCTGTGGTCATTCTTCAAACTCTCTGTAAGGGTGTAGGTGGCCCTCTTGTGTCATAACCTGAAAATAAGGTACTCACCCTTCTTTGGTTCATAACAGGCATAGGGATGCCTGGAAAGACAGCAATACAGACGGCTGGGTGGCATCTGTTGACACCCCCAGGACGTCACAGTGTGGGCAATCACACTGCCACCTGTGGGTACTTACAATACCCAGTTTAATAGAATATTCTCCCTGTTTCTTCTTTGTCTGTGGATATCCTGTGTGTACTTTAAAGTCTAGCTTACAATTTGCCTCGCCTGGTCTGCATCCATTCTTCTCTCCTTACTTGCAAAATGGTTTTAGAGTTTACACTTATTCATATCCATTTAATGATTTTATCATTTCTTGTAATTTTTTTTTTAATCAAGGACCTACAAGGTTGTTGCAGGCAAAGATCACACATCTTGGCCGTCTTGCGTCCCTCCACAGGCTCTGGTGGGGCTTGTTGTGGCGTACATATGTCATAAATGTCACCTGATTGATGTAAGGGACAGAAGTGGTCTCTAACTTCAAATAAACATCATGGAGTTTGCACATTAACATTGGGCAGGACAATCTTTTGCCCACAGTATATGCTCTGAGTTTTCAAGTAAAAAAATTAAAAATTAATAAAACTCTTTTTTCAGAAAATAACACTGTAATATTAGAAATAAACCTTTAATTAAAGAGAACTTGGTATGAAGAAGAGACAGAAAAGAAAGAGGAAGAGAGAGAGAGAGAGAGATTGATTTCCATCTTATCCACTGAGAAGTCACCAGTTTGCTAAAATCACTAAGGGGTCTCAGACAAGTCACATTTCCATGAGTCTTTCTGATTGTTTTTTTTTTTTTCCTGGTGGGGCAGGTACCGGGGATTGAATTCAGGCACTCAACCCCCAAGCCACATCCCCAGCCCTATTTTGTATTTGATTTAGAGACAGGGTCTCACTGAGTTGCTTAGTGTCTCGCTTTTGCTGAGGCTGAATTTGAACTCGCCATCCTCCTTTTTGAAATTCTAAAACAAGCCCATTGACTCCTTTATTATATTTAACTTTTCAGAGTTTCAGGGCTTTAGCCTGGGATGGGAAGTTCTGGGGAAGAGGTCATCGGAGCTGCCTGTCTACTCTGAAATTCCATGATTCTGTGGTTTTCCTTAATCAATGGTGTCACCAAATCCATTTGAGGATTTGATTATTATCAAAGACAAGTTTCCAGGTAGTTGAACAAATGTCAACAAATTGAAACTAAAAAATGCTATTGTTGATAGATGCAATTATGGGTGATCACAGAGTTGCATATTTTATTTTCTCTTTTCTATTACAACCTAAGGCAGATTAGCTGAAATTTAAACATGAACCCTAATAATGTTTTAATTGAGAAAAAGAGGTGGAGAGACGGATTATGCCGATTCCTTCACACACCTTTGGCGGGATAGTTTAAACTTTTGAGAGATTTACCTGAGGTTTTCTGAACTGAATTCGGACTCCAGGAATCGAAGGAACTGGTCCCGCCCCACCTGGTCCTTCAGTATCTCATCGAAAGAGAAACCCCATCTTTTTACTCGTTGCTGGCTGGGCTCTTTGCTTTGGGTGGAAAGAGAAGGGTTAAAAAATGATCAATATGGCAAAATCCTGTACCACATTTAGTTCAACAACTTAGAATCATTTGTGCCCCCACATTGAAGGGATGTATTTAAGCAACAGATTCTATGAGACTTGAACAATTTCCAAATGTAGACTTTTGTACAACGACAGTAATCACAGTAAAAAGTTTCTTTAAAGGAGGCATGTGAAAGGGCACTGGGTAGTGAGGGTCATCAGGGTGCCCGCCAAGTGGCTGCTGTCTCCTAGAGATGTAATACCACCATTGATTGGCCCTTCCTGGACTACTCCTGTCAATCATGGGCCCAACATTTGGTTCTATCTTTTTTTTTTTTTTTTCACTTTCACTACAATCCTGGATGTTTTGTGAATCCAACCTTTCATCAAAATATTGTCCCCTATACCTCTTGCTCTTTCCTCAATCCACCAAGGAGAAATTAGCATCTGTTTAGAGTTGAGTGACACGACTGGTCAGAAATGCTTCCACTCATCCTGAATAAACCACATTCACTTGTTTGGAAGCAAGAGAGTGGTGCATTCACAGATCGGTTTAACCCTAACATGCAGTGTTTATGGGATGTTAGAAACTGTTCTAAGCATTTTACATCTGCAACTGCATTACATCTTTATTTTATATCTTACAACTTCTCTATGAAATATGTATTAGCATTATTTCCATTTTCCAGACAGAGAAACCTAGGTCCAGTGATCGTTTGCCTCAGGAGACACAGCTAAGTGTCAAGAATCAAATCTGGACAGTGTGGTTCCTGAGTGTGGCCCTAACTCTGCTCTGCTTGGTAGCTCAGCTTGGCTGTCATTCACATTCACACTAAAGGAGCAGTCTTACTCTTTTGGTGATGGGACATGAGAATATTTCCTTCAGCCTGTGTCTTGCCACACAAGGTTTATTTACTCCTGACTCTTCCTACAACAAGAGGGTTGTCATTCACAAGTCACATGCTATCACTCCCTGTGACTCAAGGTGTGGTCTACAGACCACAAAAAACAGAAACAGAATTGTATGTCCCCACCCAAACCTGCTGAATCAGAACCTACAGTTTAACAAGATCCCTAGGTGATTTCCAACCACATTAACACTTGGAAAACATTGGTCTACCAATAAATAGTTATTTTATGACCTCTAACAGTAAGTGAATAAAATCAACTTTCCTCTTACTATGGAATTGACATATTCTTAATATTTATCAAAGAGAATTTCATGTAGTAAAAAAGGAGGCAGGGAGTTTTTGTTGGAAGGCTTAGAAAAGCAAATAACTCTAGACTAGATTTGTTCCAGAGAAGTTTCTGTGATGGAAGAGAGATCTTCCATATCTGTACATTCTGATATGGTAGCCACTAGCCACAGGTGGCACTGGGTACTTGAAAAGTGGCTGGTATAATGGATGAAATAAAATTTAAGCTACATTAATGTTAAATAATTTAAATTTAAATAGCTACATGTGGCCAGTGGCTATTGTATTGGATACATTGCTCTACATCTAAGCTACCCAGACCCAACTATTTCTGTTTCAATAGATGTAACTGGCAGTAGCAGTGTCTTCTAAGGACAGTGACCAATAGATCACTGGGAATCAGCGAGGCTTTGGCTGTGAACTTGCATTTCCAGGCAGAGCTCAATAGGGTCCAGGGGGTAGACTAAGTCCATCAGGGTTGTAAACAATGGGAAATTCCATGAAAGAACCAGGCTGGGCCTTTTATAAGACTCGAGAAAAGCTTCTGGATTCTCTCAAATGCAAGCTACAGAACTAATCAAACTCAGTAACTTTCAAGGTGACCAAAATACTATTTATAGAGAAATGCCCCTGGGGTTGATGCTGAAAGCAAACTGAGGCCCCAGAAAACTGCAGGGCACCATGTCGTTCTGCCCAGGTCATGCCATGGACACAACTATCCGCTCCTCACCAGCCAGTGAGTCAGGGCTCTGCAGGACGACCCTGGTGGCAGCTGCACTTGATCAAAGGCTGTGCCCAGAGAACCAGAAGTGGAAAGTGACTCCATTTCCTCTCTCCCTCCCTCCCTTCCTCCCTTCCTTCCTCTCTTTCTCTCCTTCTCCTTCTTCTTCTTCTTTTTTTTTTTTTTGGTACTGGGGACTGAACTCAGGGACACTTGACCACTGAGCCACATCCCCAGCCCTATTTTGTATTTTATTTAGAGACAGGGTCTCACTGAATTGCTTAGCACCTCGCTTTTGCTGAGGCTGACTTTGAACTCGCCATCCTCCTGCCTTAGCCTCCTGAGCAGCTGGGATTATAGGCATGTGCCACCACACCGGGCAGTGACTCAGTTTTCATAGTGACTGTCTCATACATGCACATTTTCCACCCATGTCATCAGTTTCTGATATCAAAGCAGAGGTGTCCACACTCACCCCACCTGATTCCTGAGTGGTGGGTGGGAAAAGGGCAATTTTGGGAGCAGGCCAGAAATCTTAGACTGTCACTATAGATATAAACAGGGAGAAAGGACTAGAAACCAGAGATGTTTAGAAGGGCTCAAGGTCACTCTTCAGAGAAACCAGAGGGTCTGAGGAGACCAGATACCCTGATGTATTAGCTTCCTAGGGCTGTCAGAACAAAGGACTAACAACCTTAAAACAGCAGAAATTTATTGCCTCACAGTCCTGGAGGCTAGAAATCTAAAATCGAGGTGTTGGCAGGCTGTGCACTCTCTGAGGACTCAAGGGGAAAATCTGTTCCGTGCCTTTCCCTCCACTGCGGATGCTGCCAGCAGCCCTTGGCATTCCTTCACTTGTAGATGCCTCTTACGCCCAGGCCTCTGTCAGCACCCAGGGCCTCCCTGTGTTTCTGTGCTTGACATCTGCTCTGTGTGTGTTTGCGTCTCTGTTTTCTCTTCTTATGGAGTCGCCAATCATATTGAGTTAGGGGCCCACTCCACCCCAGCATGGCCTCATCTTCACTAATTCATCTGCAACCACCTCCTTTACAAAAAAGGTCAGAGGCTGAGGTTCTAGGAAAGACACAGAACTGGGTGATGCTGTTCAACCTAGCATACCTGAGTTCCCTCAATGACCCATTATTCTCAATCCTCTTTCTATTGTACCCTCCACATCTGCTTCTTCTTGTCCCCCCACCTCCAGTCGTATTTGACCATTGAGATTCTCTTCTATTAACCATTTTTTGGATCCAATTTCTCTATTCATATCTTTTCTTTTTTACTTGGGTATTTCTAACATCATCCACCTTAAGGCTCAAGAATAGATCTGGTGGGGCTGGGGATGCGGCTCAAGCGGTAGCGCACTTGCCTGGCATGCGCGGGGCACTGGGTTCGCGGGGCGCTGGGTTTGATCCTCAGCACCACATAAAAATAAAATAAAGATGTTGTTTCCACTGAAAACTGGAAAATAAATATTAAAAAATTCTCTCTCTCTTTCTTTAAAAAAAAAGACTAGATCTGGTACAACCAGAGAGATGAAAAATTGTGCTCTATATGTGTAAAATGAATTGTAATGCATTCTGCTATCATGTATAACAAATTAAAATTTAAAAAAAGAATAGATATGAACGCATTGCTACTATTGAATGGTCTCTTATGGTTATAATTCTAAAAGTTTAAATATCTCTTGACATCCATTCCCAGACAATATCCATTCCTGGTACAATAACTTTTACATGGACAAACTCAAGCAAGCCATCCATGACCCCACATCTGTTGTGTAGAAATGCTTCCCCTGTGACCTATTTTTTATTACAGCTTTGTATCGTCATTTAGCTTTTTAAGGGCTGTGTCATTGCCTCTCCAGCTATATTGTGAGTCCTTTGTGTCTTTGTATTCTCCCTTAGTACTTTGCATGTGGCCAGCGTTCAACGCTAAAAGGAAATCAATAAAAAAAAAATGCATATGGTGATGTGGCTGAGGTGTCCTTATCCTGACAGCATTTTTTAATCACTAGCTGGATGCCTTTTTTCTAACTTTTATTTGTCCTCGGTGAATCTCATCAAATTCCTTCTTCCTGTTGGGCATCTCAAACCAACACATGGAGAAGACAGGTGGCTCTCCAAGGGAGCCTGAATTTCCTTCCAGCTGATCTCCCGGCTAACGAGCACAGAGGAAATTTCCCAAACTGGAAATGAGAGAAGGCCAGATTCAGAGGAAGCAGCCATCTATAAAAATGCCCGTTTCTCCTGGTCTGGCATAGGGCTAGGTGTGGTGCAAGGACTTTACAGGGCCCCATTGCATCTCAGTATAAGCCAAGGAGGTAGATACATAAATGTCCAGAGTTCACGAGACATCTGATTGCCCAAGGCCACAGAGCTGTAACATTCTGGAATTGGAATGCAGGTCTGGCTGCCTCCAAAGTCTATGCTTTTTTTCTCCCCGCAACTTTACAATTTTGCCTTCTACTCTAGTCCCCTCATTTGATGTTTAAACCAAGACCTGGGGGAAAATGCAAGCTATCTTCAAAACACAAAAATGTTTGTGTTCTTCCTCAAACTCACTTGTTGGAGTCTAACCTCCCACGTGATGATCTGAGGAGGCGTGGCCTTAGAGGTGATTGGTTTATGAGCAGAATTAATGTTCTTACAAGAGACCCAGAGAGCGCCCTTACTTTTCTACTATGGAGGACAGAGCAAGAAGATGGCCCTCTATGAACCAGGAAGCGAGCCCTCGCTAGACACCGAATCTGTTGGTGCCTTGATCTTAAATTTCCTAGGTCCCAGCACTGTGAGAAATAAATGCACAGTATGTGTAGGCTGCATTTTTATTAATAGTCCTAATGGACTAAGACAGAAATTGGGGGTGGGAGTGGGAAGCTGATCCAACAAATACCTAAAAATGAGAGAGTGGCTTCAGAATGGGACGATGGAGAGAGGCTGGAAGCTTAGAGGCGTTTATTTTTTGCTGAGAATGGACCTTCCAGGTGAGTGTGGTGAATGCTCAGAAAGAAAAGAGAAGAGCTGCAGACGGAAAGCCTCCATTTCCTTCAGCAATATCTGAGTAAT